CCTGAACACCCTATTGTTCTCATGAAGAATTTCTCAAAATTCTGTGGTTTACAAATAAATAGTTGTTTTCTTTCCCCTGCCTTAATTCACAAATGTTTTGTATTGGAGTTCATGAATTCTAACAAAAAAGTAAAATAATCTGGAGGGAGACAACTATTTGATGTGTAAACTTTGCCCAGTTCTGTGTATTATTTTGATTATTACTGGTGGCATTACCATGCTTATACCATGCTCAGGAGCATTTCCTTTCATGACAAGCAACCATCAAGATCTCTTGCTGGGAAGATTAAATCTCTGCACAGTTACTAAAAAGTCCTGATCCCCACCCCAATTAGTTTTCCACTCTTCCCAACTAATTCAGCAATAGACCATGTTTTTGTCTGTTAATAATTACATCTTTGCTCTCCTGAATGTAGGCTGCCTTTTGTTCTGTAGTTGTGTCTGCAGAGGTCACCTACTGTCACCTAGAATTAAGGAGGAAATGTGCCTCCAGATTATTCAATTGTCAGAAAATATACTATTTGACATATTTAGAGGGAGAAAAGCCTGAAAACACTGTCTGATGAAGACCTTCCTTGATATATAATTATCTGGGTGAATGGACAATGACATAGTAATACATTTTGTTGACCCTTTCCTCACCTTTTTAAAAGGAATAACATGTAGGCTCTGAATGGAAGTTGTTCTTACAGCAGTTGCACAGTACACAGTTCTCTACTTTGTTATTTTAAAACCTCATATCTCACTTAAGCCTAAGAACAAATCTGAGGCATTCATAAATTTCTGTTAATCATAGAATTTAAGGGTTGGAATGGACCTTACAGATCATCTAGTCCTAACCTAACCCTCCCTGCCATGGGCAAGGGACACCTCCTTACTAGATCAGGTGGCACAAGGTCTCATCCGATGGGTTAAAATGATTATCAAATGACTCAAGTGTGCAAGTTTTGTTAAAGAAAAAATTCACTTTAAAGAAGCCTGCTGGGAAAAATATATGCACATGTACACACCCAGACAATTTCCAGCTTGCTTTACCTGGTGGTGATCATTTCAGTGTTCCCTAAAGAGTTATGCCAACTTTCCCTTGACCATTTTGTACCCTGCTGTGAGGGGGAGAAGGAGTCTGCAGCACTTTCAGCCTACAAGATTTGCCCTGTGGATATTCTTTCAGATCTTACATTCAGGCATATTAAGGATGAGGTTTCCTCCCCTTGACCTTGAGATGTCCTTTGCTTGATAGAATATTGATTCTCATATTCCAAAGTTATGTTTCTAGAGCCCCTGTACATGTCATGGTCTGGAAATTCCTCTTGGTTTAGATTTCAAGGGATGTGGGGGTGAGACATCTAATTTTTGTATCCTGCTTGGATGCAAGCAGGGATGAGACCCAAGTAGAGAGAGACAATTTTTTTGATGTCCAGAGCCAAAACTGGGGAAATGTCAACTCAAACAAGGAGGTACTTGGTGATCAAGGAGCAACTGAGTGAGGCCTTTGTAAAAATCACAGTTTTGAGGGGAGGGGTGTTTGTACATCAAATCTATGTTCTATACTGGTGGAAATAAAAGAATTTAATCAGAAAGCCCCAAATTTCAGAAACACAGGGAAACTTTCTTCTCTTGTTGCAAGTGCTCAGTGTGCTGTTATTCGAACATTGCTAAACCAGTTATATTCTGCACTCAAAATTCTATCTTTGTTTTCAATTAACAGTGGGTGACAGCAGTGACTCTGAGCTGGATGCTGCTACCACAGTGCTCAATCTAAGACCCAGAGCAGGGAAAATCTTGAGAGAGCAGAGACTGAGACAGCAGAGGCCACTGCCTGAGTTTAGGGTGGAATGGAAGAACGAAGTCGACGGGAACCAGGATGGAAGAGAAGAGCAGCAAGAGCCAAGCACATTGCCTCAGCCATCTGTTGGGTTCAGGCAGCCACTGCTGACAAGACCAAGATTTGGCACTTTGAGCAGGGAAGATTTGACTGCAGACCATGGGTCAGCAAGACCTATGCCACCACCACGGTTAGCTAGGCAAGCATCACAAGGGGAAAGGCAGAGGAATAAGCCTGAGAACCAGCTGTACTGAACGTGGCCAAAAGAGAACTGTTGCTACCAAACCATGGACGTATCCAATTAGGATTCTAAACTATCTGATCAGACTATGGGATCCATTAAAATAACCAAACAAGCCTCAGTGTGGGTCTAACCACTTCCATTGGTGTAAAGTCAATGCCATTAACTAAGTGAAAGAAATGCTGGAGCAATTGCAAAGCTGAAGACATGAAAAAAAAATCTCTTTTATAAATAACTTATGGCAATGCTTTAATTTAATTACATGATTTCCACTATTAAGATAGGATGGAAATGTGCCTTATCACATCATCTCTTGTGGAACCAAATCATGAAGGTTCAATACCCAATAATCCATTGAAAATCATTGTTGAAAGTCCAGTGATGAATGGATTCTGAAAAAAAAAAACCAACCATTGTGTATCATTTCAGATTTTATTTATAATCAATAATTCCTGTTTTAACCAGAGCTTTAACACTGAAAATTGCACAATGCACCTATCATATAGACTTTTTAAGAAGAATAAATATATTCCTGAAGCCTAGTTCTTTCAAAAACCTGTGATGCTGAAAAAGAGGAAGAAGAGAAGGAACAAGCTGTAGGGGCAGAATTGCAAAGACAGCTTATAAAAAGGACTTGCAACAGAGACAAGACCTGAATAGCTTGAATTTTTACTTTCTGGATTTTTGGCAATATGCTACCTTTGAAAGGTACTAAGGATCACCAAAGAAAATCTGAATTACCTTGGCTTTCACTAATGTCAGCAAGAGCTGAAAGCACCTAGCAGGACACCAGAAGGCCTAAAAAGAGGAAACTTCAGGTGGATAAATCATGTTCTTAATCAAAATTGCTTTTTGCACCTTAGTTTCTTGGTTTCAGTGCAAACACAGCAGTAGAATAGTTGCAGAGCTCTGCACGTAGACAAAGCAAGCAGCCTCCTGTTTGAGTCAGGGACCACTGAGACTCAAGAAAGCTCATTTTCTCCTGCTTGTGACTCTGGTCAACTTGTTTTACTTTTTGTTTCCTCATCTGTAAAAGGGGAAAGATAATCTTTTCTTTGCCTGAGCTATGCACTCCAAGGAACAAAAAAATGTTCCATCTAATTTCTTTGTACAGAAAAGTAGCACAGTAGGACCCTGGAACCAGTTGAAGTCACTGTGCACCTTAATAACACAGACTTCTTCATCCTAGTGTCCATGGCTGACATTTGAGGGCATATGGGAAGGGAGGGTGCATTGAAATAAATGATACTTAACTGTAGCTCTCAGGAATTTGCACTTTCTGTCCCATTTAATCTGTTTTAAGTACTGATCTTGCTTTAGCACAGATACACATTTCAGCACAATGCAGAAATCATTTGCATTCTACTTGTTACAAGATGGATAACTTTCATTGAAGAATGTACACTGTGAAATCATAACTTTTCTCTTTCATTAGGACATTTCTAAATCTGTGGGCAATAAGATTCATTTTTTTTTATTTAAGCTTGTTTTGAAAGAACTATTAAAAATCAGTTTCCTTTTAAAATCACAGGGTAAATTTCTTTCAAATGTTCATGGGTTGGGTTGATAAATGGGATTTAAAACTTTCCTGCTTCCAACAGTTGTCCAAAATGTTTATTTCATGTTTGTATTTGAAATGCCAAACTGTTGTAAACTCTTTTCTTGGCACAGATCTTTTAGTATTTTTCCTCTGTTCCAGCCATGGGAGTTTCTGCTGTGTGTCCAATGCAAAGTCTAAGCTGCAGAGGGATGACTGTGTGAACCCCAGAAATCTCAGTCAAATGTTCATGGCTGTTCTCAAAGGTGATTTTTATGGAAATCAATACTTAGCTGCCCTTTAGTGATCATCTCCTGTTTGGAACTAAAATTGGGTTCCAACAAAGCCAAACAGATCTGGTTTGGATGGCTGAAGGACAAGAAATACTAATCTCATTTGCAAGAAACTTGCAGAGAGTTGTACTGGGGAATAAATTAGCTACAGCAGCATCACTTGCTGTACCTGCAGCTTTCCAGGACAATTTGGTTGTTCTTACAAGCTTTAAAAACCAGTTTAAATTTTTCTTTCAACAGGAAAGTATATTTCATCAGTAAAACTGTCAGTGAATGCTCTGTCACTGCCTTATTGGGATCATGTTTGAATAAGAGAGAAGCCTTGAGTCTGGATTTAAGTTTTGAGACCACATTGCCTTGCAGATCAGACTGTTTAGATGAGGTATTTTACATCAGGCCCATCTGAAATCTGACCAAATAAATAAATGTGAAATGTTGTGTGTCAACATTTAGTTTAATCCCTGTGAAGTTCTCTCATTCATGTGCTGGTAATGCCCAAGCATTTAGCTTCTATCTGGGGAAAGCTGCCTCTTTTGTTTTTCAAATGGTCATTATTTTTTATGGCCCAACTTTAAATAATGAATGCAGGTTTCAGGAACCTTCGTGCTATGCTGGTTGTCCATTAGTGCAGTGCATGCTCAGACTGTTGGTACTTAAAGTGGGTGCCCTATAGTACAAGCACATCAAATCCAAGGTCATTTTTATGACATCTGGTCTTAAGCTCTTGGTGCTTCTAAACACAATAGCATGTTGTGGCCTTTCCAAAGCACTTTGAGATCCATGGAATACAAGCATCAAGGCACTGTGAAGGAAATCTGACATCTAATGGGCTAGTATTCACTGCCTTCCTCACTCCTGCTCCTCCCACACTTTTTTGGCTTTTTTTTCCACTACTGCTGGGTCAGACCCTCATGGGAACTGATTTTCTGGGTGTTCTTTTCAGTAGCAGTGACAGGAGCAGGTGCCACAGGCTGTGTCCCAGGTAGCCCTTCTCATTCAACTCTGATTTGGATCAGAGCTTTGCCTTTTTCTACCTTTTAAAAAGTTTTCTGCAAAGGAAAAACAAATTCGCTTTTTTTTTTTTTGAGCTTGCAAAGGAGACACTTCATGTTGTAGCAAAGAGAGTTTGTCTGCTGGAGAATGAAATGCTAACTAAATCTGTCCTCGAGCACCATCTGATGGGGAAGTCATGTACTGACTGAGGACGTGGGTCTCAGTTTTTCAGGAAACCACATCTTCTTCAGCAGTGACTGGGAAAAAGGCCAAAGCCACATAGGAATATTTTATTTCCAGACAGTCTGTCCAGTACACTCTGTAGTATAGGTGTTTTAATGCACTGTTGTGGAACCAAGTCCAGTTGTCCAGTTTTAGGAACAGTAGGAAAATATTTATGTTCCACACTGAATTAGGACTTTGTGAGAATTTTTTCCCCTTCAGCTGCTGAGAAACCTATAAACTGTAAGTAAATGGCATAAGAAAGTAGGTCTAGCAAGGGCTAGATAGACATCCAGTTATCTGTTTTAGGCAGATTTTGAAAGAAAAAACAAGAATAACTTGCCATAAGAGGCAAAATTTTAAGCTCTGTCCTACATGGTTCTAAAATATAATGCAAACTCCACTGAAACCACAGGTGTTCAACAAAAGAAAACCATGCTGCATAACAATTTAGAAACTTGAGAATATCCTTCTCCACTAAAGCCACATAGAAATCATGTGGTAAAAAAAAAAAGTTAAAAAATTTTGCCAAAATGACATGCTTACTGTTCTGAAGAGTATCTTGGGCTCTCTGGGAGCAAACACACAGCACCTCTGCCCCAACCTTTTCAAGAGCTGCCAAGTCTACCAATTCCAAACACCAGCTGACACCACAAGAAATGCTCTGGCTCCTCATCTTTTCCCAGATTATCCAAGTTCTGCCAACATCCCCCAGCCCTTGAAGAAAAGGGAAAGGATTTTGAAATTGGCTCTCAGCCACTAAAAAATATCCTTGTAAATATGTTTATAACATGAGATCTGCAGTGCACAGCCCCAGCCAGGCCAACAATAGATCCATCTGCAATGTACAGCCCCAGCCAGGCCAACAATAGATCTCAGGCCAGAAAACAGAAAGAAGGAGATATCTAAGTGTGAGAGGGAGGAACTGCTTTAGGACATTGTACAGAGAGGACATGGACTACCTGATTTAGGTGCTATTTAAATCTGGGAGAGATAGGAAGACTCACCGTTCTCTTTTTTTTTGTATCCCTCATTTTGGCAGATCATGATATAATTTACACTTTCTAGATAAACTTGCAGCTGTGCTTGACACTGTCAGTTGTATGAATGGCCATGAGGAGTCTTGTCTTAAAACCTTCAAGTCAAAGAGTTTCACCTCCCTCTTGGCCTATTTATTAGATGGCCAGACTGGCTAATAGGACAACATGAGGGGAAATTGGGTTAGCATAATTTTGCTTCTGAGATGACAAACCCTGATGTGGTTCCCACACAGGACTGACATACTTTGGAAACCTTTTTTCTCCTTAGAGACTTGTCAGGATTAAGATTGCAGAAGGGAAAACAGTAGTTGCACTGGATGCTCTGGTGACCCTCAGTGGGTCATGATCTGAAATGTGCTTAGGTCTAAATTTGTTAGAACAGCACCCTAATTGCCATAGGTTCTGTTTCAAAAAGAAATTTTTTTGCCACAAAAAGAAAAAAAGGATTTTAAATACCTTAGTTTACTTCACTTATTTTTCATCTTTGAGACCTATTTATTACACATTTGACAGAATGGAAGACCAGTTCCTATTGTGTAGCACATCTCAAAAAATAGCTCTTTGATGCTTATTTAGGATTTAAATGAAGTAGAAATTTGGAGTAACTTCTTTTTGTAAGTCAACGTGGAAGTTTTTCAGGACTTCCCTTTAGAACAAACTCTGCATTTCATTTCATAAGAAGTCTGACCTCTGCTCACAATTAGTTGATTCTCAAAGTTCAGACTCCAGTGTACTCCATTACAAGGTTCATGATCATCTCTTTGTGAGGCTTCAAAATTAGAGCAATTAAAGCACAGGCAACTCTCATCTTTTCAAATCCCAAAGTGCCAAGCTATAAAGGAGTATCCCAGGGATATCCCACAGCACCCACAACCAGTTTGGGGCTTGCAGCACCTGAACATACCCACGGAGGTTCCCATCCCCAGGAATACACTGGCACTACAGAGTGGTGAAAGTAAGGAGCAAGCCAGCTCATAATCAATGCTTGTCCTGTTTTGTTGCTGCATTATCTGCTCAATAATCAACCTGTTCTCAGAAAATGAGAATGATACTGACCTCTGTGTTGGTGCTGTGGTGAGTAAATTCAGAGGAAAGAAAACCAGTTGAGAAACTGAAGCCTGCAGGATTGGTG